GTATGCTCAAGTGATCCAGAGTCCTCCACCAGTCCAGGCCTTTGCATATTGAAGGTTTTCTAAAATCCACTTACACACATGCTTTACTTCTGAATATGAGTACCTGCTTTCAGCTCACTGCGACATGTGGACAGAGCAGTAACATGAAAGGGCTCTGAGGCAGGCAGGGCCAGGATAAGTGAGAGACAGGAAGGAGAGACACAGCAAGCAAAATGGAAAAAGAGGCAGGGCCTGAACTTGGGCCAGCGGGGAAATCAGCTGGAGAACTGATTGTTCTTTATGAGAGGAAGGAAGGCAACTGGATCACACTTCAGAGGAGGAGAGGAAGAAAACACACAGACATGTTACAGTGAGTCATTTTCTTAAAAACAAAACTGAAGCAAACTAGAAATGTACTCTGATTCCAGGATTAGAAGGAGAAATTAGTAAGATTGTTAAAAGATATACTAGGAAAATAGGATGGCTCATGTCTTTGGTGGAACTTCTTATAAATACTGAGTTTCAGAGATTTATCCACAGCTGCTTTCTGCTTTTTAAAACTACACAGGTCCAATGAGGTGAGCCTCTCACATAGACTTTGTTTATTGTGTAAGGGCTGAGAGCTTACAAAAATCTTTATCCTTTCTAATGCCAAAATATAACAGATACCATAGAAACTCAACCCATGAGAGAAACAAGAATAATTCTTTAGAAATGAGATTGAATTTTTACAATTAAATACTTTTTACTACTTAGACAATAGTACTTCTATGAGAAATCTATATATCTTAGCATACAAACTACTGAGAAATATCAAATGCTTATAACATTAAATATACAAGGAGATTTCGGTTTATGAGTTTAATTTGTTTTACAATTTTGGGAAATACGGTTGCATTTATGTTTGTGTGGGGAAGATGGCCGTGGTTGTGTTTGTCACCTGATAGTTTGTGAATGGAAGCAAAATTTTGCTGAACATTTTTGTTTGCAAAATGAATTGTTGGCAAAGAAACATTTGTAATCCAGCGTATATCTGTATTTTTTTGGTACCAGGGATCGAACTCATGACCTTGAACTTGCCAGGCAGGTTCAGTGCCACTGAGCTAAATTCCTAAGCTTTGTATTTTCCCCCCTCTACACAATTTAATTTCTTGAGATTCTGGCATTTTAACCTAAAACAAGATTTTATTTCTGGATCTTTTTGCTAACAAAGGATCTGCTAATTCTAGTAATCATGATCATAGTTCTTTTGGAATGAGACAGTCTGAGAATTCTTATTTAAACTTTAGCATTTTTTTGTGTGTGTATGTACATGGGTGTAATACTGGAGATTCACATTTGTAGGTAGTTGCACGTTGGTGTTACTCTTGGTTTAAAGCACATAGGTTTTTTTTCTACCTCTGATCTGTTTTTAGTAAAACAATAAAGAATAGCTCACATTATATTTGTCCATTAGAAACTTAAGAAGCAATATAAGTCTAAAATTTGATCCTTTTTTTTTAAAGCTTAAATAATCATAACCAAACTCAGGATGAAGATGGCTTTACCTTATCCTAACAGTATAGATTATTTGGGTATATTTAATATAAATAAGTCAAATTCTATACTGATGGGCATAAATTTGGCTGCAACATGCAAGTGGATGGTTTTACTGGGAAATTATTTTCTGAAAACTTTGATAAATAAAGCTCAAATGAAATATAAATCTATATATACAGGTGTGTGTTGGTTCACAAACTTGATTCTTTACACAATTTTGGTTGTAAACTGAGTCAGACAAGAAATGAATCAAATTCAGCAGTCGGATTCAATGTTGGCTTTAGGGGAAATCTGATTTGGTTCTTGTCCAGTTTGGTTTGTGACCAGAATTATGGAGATAATGGAGTGTGTGAAGCAATATTTATATATATATATATTCAGGGTAGCCTTTATCTATAAAGATATTATATTAGTTAACGTTTCTTCTGGCTAGGAGAGTTTTGTGCAAATCTGGCATAATGCTGTGACTGATATTACAAAGTTTTATAGAATGCCAAGTGTTGAATCAGTATACAAATTGTATAACTGGTTCCTTCATAGGAAAACATTTCCCCAAATTTGCGCACACACCCACACCTGACTTAGCATACTGTTCTATAAAAGCCATGACAAAGAGCAGCTCAGTTGTTTCCCAGTCACCGTGAGCTCAGACATACACTACTTTGTTTTGCCCTCAGTAAGCAATGTTCAGGCAAAACGATTCAGTTTACAAAGGCTGCAGCTCAAATCTCTGAAGCAAGACGGTTGCTCGTGTGAGTATAAAGCAGCTTGAAAACATGGGCCTCCGTGCACAACTTTCAGTTGTTTCACTAAGATCAGAAAAAGAAATGCAGTTCTTAAAAAATGCAGTTCTTAAAAAAAAAAAAAAAGAAACACAGTTCTACTTTTGACCTTCCTTCCCTAAGAATGCTCAGAAAAATTAGAAGAATTTTCCTCCAAAGGAAACAACAATCACAACTGCCAAGATATTTTCACCTTTGAACCCTCAGAAATCTGCAGATTATTCATATCGGGCAGTGAGGTGTCAAAGCTGGCCATTCTGGTGTTGAAGGAATGGGGGTCGGCGGGGGCGGAGTCACAGACCGTGGTGAGCAGTTCCATGGGATTGGCCTCCTCAGAGGGGGAGAGGGTCATGATCTGTTTAAAAAGCAAAGGAGATAAAACAATATGAAGTTCCCAGTCTTTAAAAGTTCTACTGTTCTTTACATAGGAGCACACGCTGTTATCCCCTAGTTTTTGGATGGTAAATGTTAATTTCCTAATTTGCATACGTTACCCTATTGGACATTCGACATAGAAGCTGTCAATCTAATATTAATCTAGTGTCACAGCACAACCCTCTAAAATACCAATACTGTATAAATGTCTGTCCTATTTCCTAACACTTTAGCTACCTGAGGAAATTTTTATAAAAATTCCAGCATCACACAAATTAAGAGTATTTGGGAAAAACCTAGGTCCCCACAGATTACATAGTGATCAGGAATTGTCTCCATCTGCCACCTACAGAAAAGATGCCACCAGAAAAGAGAAATTAGACACCCCTGAGAGTTGAGATTTTAGCCCAACAGCTGTAGTAAGTTCTTTACCTGGAACTAGGAACAAAACTCCTGCATTCATTCTCAAAAAAAAGTCTCCCTTGCTCCAATGAGAGAGTTCCTACTCACTAGGTCCGAGTGCTCCAGGATCTGGCTGGCTGTGAGGTCCTCCTCCTCAGATGATTCATCGGAATCCTCATGGTTCATTTTATTCAGGCTGGGAGGACTTCCTGAGAGCTGGCGCTCCTCCAGGATCTGCATGTCACACTTGTCCAGGCTGTCCAACGAACGTCTGCGCACTCCCCAGTTGAAATTGTCCATGCTCTCGCCCTGAAATCACACCACCAGCTGGGTTTTTATGCCCACATCCTCCTGCACTCGCACCTCTAATTAGTCACAGCTTAGAAACCAATGTGGTCATCACCAACTTCCAAGCCCTCATGAGCTTGGGTGTAAAAACTATAGTTTACCTGATGTGAAAAGTAACAAATCAGCCTATTTTTATGTAAATATACATTAAGTCGCAGAAGTGATTATACTTTTTCTTGGGCATGTTGGATATATTTTTTAAAATTGATTTTGGCAAACTTCAGAAATGATGTGCATTTAAAAAAATCTGTAAGGAAGAGACTATTAATATTAAAACAACTTCAGAAGAGGTATGGGCTCCCTTCCCCCGCCAGCCCATTTAGTGCATTTTTCCAAGGGAGAAACAAGTAGGAGCTAGGCTTGCAGCACATTCCAGAACCCCTTGGCTATTAAGTAGAGGAGCATTAGGTAAACATTCCAGCCCATTCTGCCACAGCAGTTTTCACAGATAAAACGCAGAGTTAAAGACTGTCAGGGAGCTGGACAAAGTTTGATGAATCATGCACTATGCAGAGGCCAGAGCAGCAATGGCTTAATTTTTGCTTTAGGCTCATCTTTAAACAATTGTTCCATCCTGGAAAACAATTTCTTGCCTCAGTACTAAACATGACTGCTGACTTGTACACTGTGATTTTGTGAGAAGTGGCCTAGGAGGCCCATAAGTATTAAAGAAAGCTTTCATTATATCTTCGACGTTCTCTATAAACCATCAGATATTAAATAAGTTTATTTGACTAATTTTTTTTCCTAGAAATGAATTTGGATTTTGTTTTTCTGTTTCTTAAGCTACGAATAGAGGAAGAGAGGTATTGCTAGCCTCCTGATAAGCAAATTCTAATCTAAACAAAAAGTTAATGGAATAAAATTTAACACCGAATCCTTCCATTTTTAGAAATTTTAAGCACTGCCTAATGGTTCACTCTGATGACAGCTCAGTGAACAGCATAATGAGATATAAATTACTGTTAATCTTGGGAGTGTGTTTATTCATTTCTTCCTGGCTTAAGAGTCTGTTGTTTCTGACTCCTAACGACACAAGCTTTCCATTCTCATCAACCTCTTATAGTAGATGCTTGATACATTATTCCAAATATACAGAAATTATACAGTGATCATATAGTGATTGCCCTAAAGCCACTTAGATAAGTTTTTCATATTCTGTACTGCTTCCCCTGTATCTGCACAGGCTGAATAACCCTACTCTGAAATCCAAAATGGTGCAAAGTCCAAAAATGCCATCATGATGCCCCACAGTGGACCATGCCCTTATCTGACATTATGTGATGGGTTACCAAAAAAACATAGGACCACTAAAAACTGTATAAAATCCCCTTTAGGCTGTGTGTATTAGGTGTATATACAACATAAATGAATTCTGTTTAGACTTAGCTTCCATCCCCAAGAGATCTCACTGTGTATATGCAAATATTCTAAAATCTGAAGAAAATATGAATCAGAATTCAAAATCTGGTCAAAATCAGAATTCAAAATCAGAAGTCAAGCATTTTGGACAAGGAATATTCAAGCTGTTTTTGTTTGATTTGTGTCTGCAGTAATAATTTCTTTTTTTTTTAGCATGGTGGAAGAGACTAACTGGAATGCTGGGATTTTAAAATAACTATTGCAAAGGAAAAGATGTGCAAGAGCAAGAGGTCTTGGAAGAAGAATGCAGTGTGTAAAGAAAGGAAAAAGATGAAAAGCGATACTATACCAACAAAAAAGTGAAAACTATTGGAATACAGAATTCCCAAAGCTGACTTTCTTGTACCAAATGAATGGATACGTTGGGAGAACTAAATTTCATTTAGAAAATTTTTTTTGCAGTGCTAGGGATCAAACCCAAGGCCTTGCATTGCTAGGCAACCACTCTGCCGCTGAGCTACAACCCAAGCCCTGGGTTGTAGCAACACAGACATCTGGAGTATGAAATGCTGCCCCGGGCAAGATGGCTGGGACCATGGATTTGCTGGCAGGTCTGCTGAAGACTAGAATCTAACAGGCAGGTAGCGGTCCTCACAGGAATAAGATCTGTCTTGTCAGAGGAGTGACAGCTTCGTTAGAACAAAGATGTTGAAATTGTGTTTGTGAGGTAGCCGAGGGGTTGAGATAAAGCCCTGTTGCAGTTTAGTCCCAGTAAACGTCCATGGTGATGGAGGCTGCAGGTGTACTTCTGAAACAGAGTGTGTGCTTAGGACCTATGAGGCCCTGGGTTTAATCTTCCCTCTGGGGGCAGGAGTAGCTAGCTAGCCGTGGTGATCAAAAGTCAACCTGCCTTTCCCAGCACAGCACAGGGTTACCTGCAGTGGAGCTACACATGCTCCATCCTGCCTCTCCCTCTCCCTCAAATGTCAGATCTGCATTTCATGTTACACACCGAGTTAAAACAGTTTACTGGTGATGCCAGGTTATGTGTGAGAAAATGGAGAAGATGGAAAACTTTTCTGGATGAAAAATGTTCACACACAGGTTTCAACAACCTTAAATATACCACTCAGGATTTATAGTAGAAGAGTATTAACTATATTCTAGAAATATTGGAAGTAACATTCACTGAAATAATTTTTTATATCAAGCATTAAAAAAGAATAAAAATGCTAACTAGTATCATTTTTATGAGAATTATTATGGAAGGGACCAAGTATGCCACAGTCTAATATGTTCCCCTAAATGAACTACTGAGTGAGTCTGACATGACACACACATAGTGATCTTAGCAGGGATAATCCTGGTTTGTGCCAGTTGTCCAGATGTTGCACCCTCTTGCATTTTTGAGAGCCCAGGTTTGGATGAAAACTGATGTTTTCATAAAGACAGAGCTCCAAATCTTGGGAAATTTTTTTTTTTTTTTGCGCTGGAAAGGTATATGATATATCATCAGCTGCGGACTGATTGCACTTTTTTCTTGTGCTGAGACCTGAACCCTGGGCCTTGTGTACCTGCTTTACCCCTCAGCCACACTCCTAGCTTGATTTCACTTTTAATAGGAAAACAAAGAGTTCAATTGTGCACTTGCCTAACCAGACATTTTAGGGAATCCACTGATCAAATTTGATGACTCATTTTTCTCTTGAGATGTAATATGTATTTTTCATACTAGAACATAAAAGTTTTTTTTAAATTCATGTATTTGTTTTACAAAATAGTTTCATACTAAGCAGCCAGGAAAAATACTTCTGACATGACACACACTTAAATAGATATATACACACAAATAAGCATACGTTTGCTGGAAGGGAGGAAAAAAAAGCAATTATGTTGTTATAAATTTGCAATGATGCAAAACATCTACTAGCGTCTCTGAATTAAAGATAATATCATCTTACCTGAAGCTCCTGGGTAGCAGATTGAATGGATAGAAAAACAAATAAAAGGTCTATTTAAAATGATTAAAGATACTCAAGTGCATTTGTCTTAATTTTAACACAATAGCAACTAATAATGCTAACAATATAAACAATGTATACTTTAGTAGACACAGTTTTTTAAAAAAGTTAAATATGTTCTAACCCCAAAGGGAACAATCACATCTCTTCAGATATTTCTCACCTCTTCAGGTGGATGGTGCAGCTGAGGTAACAGATCATAAGCATAATTTCTAACGTGGCTTTCACTTCAGTGACAACTTTGGCCTGACACATTTTATTGCAATGCTTAAATAATCATCTGTGAGAAAACTGTTCAATGCCACAAGAAAAATAGAGGTCATCAACTAGGAAAAAAAGGGGGATGTCACCTGATTTCGTTCACAAAGCTAAAAGTGTTTGTGATCATAATGTGTTTATTGTGGATATGCAGTTAACAGCAAAGACACAGCCTTTTAAGATTCTAAAAAGGTCAAGGGCAGAAACTCTTATACAGATAGTATCAACAAATCCCAAGTTGAGTGAAAAGGAACAGAAGTATGAACAGCCTGACTTTTTTTTTTTTTTTAAACTGGAGTGTTTTCTCCCCTTGCTTGAAAACTGTGTTTTCAAGCCGTAAAATGTACTTAACTTTCTCTGAAGAGGATATACGAACGTTATTTACTAATGACAGCTACGTCCAGGGGCTGACACTGAGAATGTTGAGTGCCTCCCCACAGATTATCTTATTTAACCCACATGGCAATTGTATGGGCGGGTATCATGATGCCTGCTGACCCCACGAGTAGCAGAAGCCAAGAGGACCTGCCATTCCAGCTGGAGGTGCTTACGGCTAGGTCACTGGCAGAGATGAAATTCAGTTGGGATTGATAGATGCAGGCCCAAACACTTCGATGCTATGTAGTGATCAGTAAGCATGTTAGAATCCTTTTTATAATTTTACTTGGAAGAAGCAAAACATTCTTAAATGGCTTATTCATTTTTGAGACAGGATCTCATTATATTGCCCAGGCTGGTCTCTAATTCCTGGGCTCAACTGATCCATCTGCCTCAGGCTGCAGGTGGCGAGGGTTAGAGACCTATGCCACCTATGCCACCGCACTCGGCTTGCAGATGACTTCTTTTATTTGGATAAAATGCACTCTCTTACTTCCTTGAATGTCTCATAAAATCTTACTCATAAAATATAAAATCATCTCTGGGATATTTTAGTTAGGACAAAAGAGAGATGACTGAAAGGCAGGTATATCATTCATTATTTATTATGACAAACATCAGTACCTCAGTGGAGAGGTTGGCACCTCCAATTTTTTCGTCTTCTATTTTAACAGTATTTTTTTATTTTTGTGATGCTGGGGATACAACACAGGTGATAAGCACATGTCCTACCTCAGTGGTAGGACACACTGAGTCACACTCCCAACTCTTTCTTTCATTTTGATAGAAATGAAATTTGTTCTGAAATTGTTTCTGCTCCCTCTGCCACTTTTCTCTGGCTGAAGAGGAAGACGATACCTCTCTCATTCTGTCAGTTTTTCCCTTCCTTGTTTATCTCCCAGAGGAAGAGGGTGACCACGCATGAGTTCTAGCCTGACAGCAGACATGAGGTCATTTCCCAGGTTAGGGAGTTAATCTTTTGGCATGAGCGGAACACTCGGTCCTTGTTCAGAGATATTTAGAAAATAATCAAAACAATTGTACTATATTTTGTGTTTTTTTGTCACTAATTATGGTTAGCAGTAATCTCTGTAATACTTTTAATGGTCCTAGAACAATTTAAGGTGAAAATTAAGTTGGCATTTTTTTTTTTTTGAAGAATAGTCAGTGCTTTTAGCTCTTTGGCTTCCATGAGATGTAAGTGGGGTCATCAGTAATCACACCCTTTTAGGGAGGATACACAAAACATCATTTTTCTAAAGGTGTGTAGTTAAGTTAGGAGGTGCCTATCTACCACAAGACAGAGTAGGTTTTGAATTTGAGCTTCTGTTTTAACTGCAAGACTAGAAGAATGCCTTTTAAAAACAGAGTATGTTAGTTAAAAGTCAATCAACCAACGCTGAGCAACACCAGGAACCAAGCTTTGTACCAGGCAACTGTATATAAGCAAATCCCACTGAAGAGAACTGTGTTTTCATCTTCTGGTGATTAAAGACTGTCTCTCAGCTGGAACCTTAGCTACACAAGTGAGGGTAACCAAATGGGGGTTGTTCCTGCTTCCAACCCTGTTTTCAAAATCGTGATTCATTGCAGAAAGCACCTTATTACCATGACCATCATTTAAAATAAAAGAATCTGTATCTGCCTGTTGAGACTTGAATTCAGCTGCTCCAGGTGTCTGGAAGGCTGGCGACCAACCCAAGCAGAGCAAAGAATGCTCTCTCTCATGTGCTTTGTATTTCAAGTTCTAATGATTTCATCAAACACAGCACAAAAAAGCTGGAGCCTCGAGGCTCTGATCTCATGTTGTAGCAGGCAAGCTTTGGAGTAACTGATTTAGAACAACTTTGCATTTAAAATAATTAAGTGCTTAGAATATTTTGCCCAGGTGCCAGTGAACTGGCTCAGAACTGTCATGTTTCTGTGCTTTTTAAGTTCCCCCTTGGACTACACACACACACAGTCTTTGTGTGGTCATAACAACTCAGGTCTTTGCCACTTAGAAAGAACTTGGCAGCTTCTGCCCGGGGCTCAGACAGGAAGGGCGTGGCAACTTTTACCCAAGTTAGGCGGCTGTACTTTGAATAAATAGATTCAAAACAGTTCAAAACAGTTTACAGCTTGGCAATTAAAGATCTTCCTACAAACCCCTCCCTATTTAGCAGACAGAAAGGCACTATTTTGTTAGTCAAGGACAAAGTTAAGGTGATTATTTTTAAAGAACGTACTGTACCTCTCCATCCTCCAGCTCCACGTCTAGGAAATCAAAGTCCCTAAAGACTCTGAAGTGCTGCTCGCTGTTTGTGTCATCTGTGTTCTCCTGCTCCCGGGTGCCGTCCTCAGAAGACACCAAGCTCGTCTGATGCTCGAGCAGATCCAGGTCCCCGCACGATGAAAAAATCACCTGTGAACTCAGAGAGTCCTCTCCTGAGAACTGGGCTGTGTGCAGTTGTTTGTGCTACAAGAAACAGTAACTGGCTCTTCATAGCACTGTGTTTCCAGTACACACCTAATTCCTTCGGTGGGTATTTTTAGAATGTTCTTTTATTATTTATGTTGGACAGGTGCCTTCGGATTAAACTCGTCGCAAAGACCTAAGTTCATGCACCAGGAAAGTGTTCAAGAGTTAAGTTACTATTTTAATGGATGAAGACGACAATACCTGAGCGTGTGTGTGAGAGAAACAACTGAACGTATGTTCACAGACAAACTGGTCCTTAAGAAAACATTCCATTCTTTCTGAGCTGACTGCAATTATAAATTGCACACTCTCACTAGAATGGCATAAGACTGACTAGCTGAACCATGCCCCTAATTTCCATACACATAAATCCCTACCGTGTTGCTTTAAACAAATCAAAGCATTTCATCTGTTAAGATCTTTATTATGTTAATGTATTGAAATTAACTTCTCGGCTGGACGAGTGGCAAATGCCTATAATCCCAGCACTCAGGAGGCTGTGGCAGTACGACTGTCACAAGTTTGAGGCCAGTCTAGGCTACACAGTGAGTTCAAGGCCAGTCTAGACTACAGAGGGAGACCCGGCCTCAAACAAACAAACAAACAAACAAACAAAACCTAAGTTTTTTCTTCACTGGGCATTTTAATGGAACTTTGTAGAAATAGTAATCTATCAATGAACCTAAATGCTTTGCTAGCCAATGTCTACTGAACATAGATGGACATTCAGTAAAATTAACAGTGTTCTTTACATGATCATTATAGTGTCTTAGTCTTCCTGACAAACAAACGGATCATTTATAAGAACTGAAATATGTTTCCAAAGTAAAAAAAGTCAGTGGATGACAAATGTGCTTTTTCTCGACTGTTTAAAAATAGTCATGTGATGTGCATAATACAGGCTGAACATCCCTGATGTGAAAATCTGAGATGCTCTGAAATCTAAAATTTTGCATTGTTGACATGCTTAAAATTTTGACATTTTGGAGTCTGGATTTTTGGGTCCGAGATGTTCTGGTACAGTCTATGGAGAAATTCCAAAATTCCCAAACCCCAAAATCTGAAACAGTTTGCGTACCAAGCATCTCAGCTAAGGGCTTCTCAGGCTGTGATCTCATGCAGTGTGGTCCATGACAGTTTCCCATGGGATCACAGACAGCTGTGTGACACAAGTCCAGCAGTCAGTGAGAGGGGGCATGAAAATTCTGATTTCCTGAGCTGACGGTCCTATGCCTGGTCTTACTCGTGAGGTACTGTATTTCAGGTAAATATTTCTAGCTGGCAAGGCCTCAGCACAGGGGCAGACAGTATGAGCCAGAGAAAGTGCTAACCATGATCGCAGTGAGGAATAACTCCCATGGCCTGTGCTGCACTGCAGAGGTTCAGAGACTCTTGTTTCTTGGGGGCTGGCAGCTGTCTTCCCTAAGTAACATCGCAGGCACAGCAACAAACCACTGAACAGTAACACCAAAGGAGACTTAAGATGGAGGGCACCACGGTGACTTCAAGTTTAGCTGACGGGGACCTGAGGTATGTTAGTGGGTATACATGAGCCTCTACTATTTAACTTGCTCATGAACTATGTAAATAGAAATAGTTTTAGATTTTAAAAATAAAAATCCAATTTCTCCACATGGAAATTGGTTTGCTAATTCTAATTTACTTGGTTAATTTGCTCATTTATTGTAAGTAATAAAAATGGTGTAATATAGATGAAATAAAAATACTTGGTGAAACTAGACCCTGACATTTTGTTTTGTTGCAATATGTTCATATACATGCAATTAAAATTGTATGAATTTTATAAAGGCTTCAGAAGCTTTCTTATTATTACTCTTTAATCATTTGTCCCTTCAAAAGCCTAATGATATTTTTTGCTATAACAGTGAAAATTAAAAAAAAAAACATGCCATTTATTTTGTTTTATTTTATTTGGGACAGGGTCTCGCTATGTAGCTCAGACTAACCTTTAATTCACAGCGATCCTCCTGCTTTGGCATCCTGAATGCCAGGATTACAGGCATGTGACACCATACCTGGCTTTGTAATCCTTTATTTGTGATATGAGCAAAGAGAAGAGTTTAAAATATTTACCACGGTTTTGTTAAAATACCATTATTTTTATCTTCCTGGTATATAAGTAAAATAAACACATCAGAGCCAGAAGTGTATGTAAAAATAGAATTCCATCTAAGAGGACTGGCCTCTGTGTCACGCATGGCGGTGCCGTACACTGTAAGGAAGTTTGGACATACACATAGAAGAACTAAGAAATTAAGCAACAACAACCAAACAGCATTCACAGGCAAAATGGGGCAAAGAGCCAACAAAAGACTTCCTGGTTTTTAAACTAAGTGAAATTAAAAGCCACAGTGTAGGGTAGAACAATGCAGGGATTTGGTATAGATAATGGGCATCATATGTGTCATTCACTGTAAAAATTTATGTAAAAATATATGATCAATAGCAAAAAGCAGATCAAAGGCAAAAAGATAAGATACCAAAAGAGTCCTGACGTAAGATGGGACTTACGGATGGGTTTTTGCTTAATCCTACTTCTTGGCCACACAGCGAAAGGACGTGCACCAATTTCTCTTTTGTCCTCTTCTGGAAAAGAAACACAAAGCAGGTTTTCACTGAGGGGTCCGGTGAACTGCTCTAATCCCAGATCCTTTTGTCACAGAGGGCACTTTGCTGCTTGAAATGGGGTCACTAAGAACTGAGATGTAAAATGCAAGACTTGCTATGAAAAAACAATGTGAAACATCTTACTGATAACAGTTAAATACTGTAACATACTGAAATATTTTTTACACAAACTGTCAAATAAAATGTTACTAAAATTGATTTGCCTGTTTCTTTTTACTTTTTTTTAAAAGTAATTGCTACAATATTTAAAATGAAGCTTACGTTTCTCCTAGTAATGTTTACCTAAGTTACTCTAAGGGGTGCTATGGGTGTGTGAAAATCAATCCCTAGGTCAGTGGTGGCAAACCTTTTTCAAGCTGCCACAGTGGGCATGCAGAACCCTCTCTCCTGGCACACAAGCCAACTCACCCTAGCAACCAAGCATTAGATAACATTTTCCTCTAAACTAAATCCTCAGTGTCCGGGTTTAATGGCAGAGTGGGTTTTGGGTTGCAGTTTGGGCACCTGGTCTCTAAAATGCTTGCCATCACTGCCTAGGTTCCTCAGCAGAGATTCATCACTCCCTTTGATAATCCTTTCTTGACTATTACAACTTTTAGTGTTAGCAACGTTTTTCTTACACTCAAATTAAATCTATTACAGTACACATCTGTTTTCTTCAAGTGAGAAAATTACTTGCTGCATAATGAAGGCATTCAATCATTTGTAAACCACATTAACTCTTTCCCAATTGATTCTTCCTAAAGTTAAACACATTCTTTCTGACATTCTTCATGAACCTTATTTTCCAGCCCTTTAATCATGGGGAATCTTCTCTAAACCATCCCATTTTTCATAAGATTACGGAGTCTCAGAAAGACTGGCAGTTGAAAATGAGACAATCTATAACTAGAATCTAAAAAATGTTCTTGTACTTCAGAACTGCTCATAAAGCAACCTTTCTAATCTCTTTAAAACAATCCAGCCCCTTTAATCTAATTTAGGGCTGTTCATATATGTATATGTATGTATGTGTATGTATATGTATATGAAAATACTTAAGACAGTTACACTACTGACTTCTCTGAGGTCACTAGAGAGAAAGATCTATGTTGGTATTGTTCAGACAACGGAATGCAGGAGTCTTGCGCTCTGGGTGAATGATTTGGGGAAGACAGTGCGCAATGCACGCACCATTTTTGCCCTCGATTGACGACGTGTTTTGAAATTTTGTTTTAGTTCTGTTTTCTTTTCTCTTTGAAATAAAATGGATTTGAAAACAGTAATTTTAGGGTTGTTATGTAGAAACTGTGAGGCCAATACCACTCTCTGAGATGTTCCTTCTTAACAGAACCTGTTCACGGCATCTTTCTTTGCAAGTTAAAGAAGGGACATATTGTCAAAGTCAGAGGCATGAGGACCTCCATGTAGAGAGAATGACTGTACATTTGCTCAATGGTTTCCCCAGGCCTTAGGGAATTTTACAGTGCTGAGAAGAAATCAATGTAGAGCAACATGGAACAGGCTGTATATTTTTCTTCTCTTTTCCAAAAATGTTTCCAAGAACTCAGGGAACCTTCCCTGAGACCTGCTGTTTCGGCAGGCTCTGTGCTATGTGTTCATTTCCCAAACCTTTAAGGATGAAGTGAATTCTGCTGGGCATCAAATGAAGTGTGTTTCCGTTCCCCACACTCTGCAGGAGCCTTTGTTTCCCTGCAACCGCTATGAATGTCAGAAAAAGACCTCTGTTCTGAAAACACCTGACCAAAGACCATGGCAACCTGGAGCACCAGGGTTTGCTGTGGGGTGCTGTGGGGAAAGCCTGCTGACAGTGAAGTCAAGAGAGGGGAAAAGTCGGGGGCCCTTGACTCGCTTCTCACCTGCAGCCTTTTTTCTTTCCAGAGGTGGAAAGGAGAGCGTCTAAGGATCAGTTCCTGTCATGGTGTGCTAGAATCCAGCTGTGCATGAAGCTAAGGTAGAGGGTGCTGCAGACCTGATTTCGAGGTCTCCCAAAGGCCTGTGTGGTAAAGGCTTAGCTGCGGGTCCAGGGGACTACAGGGAACCTTACGAGGCCGGGCCCAGAGGGAGGAAGTTCAGCCTCTGCAGTGAGCCCTCCAAGGGCTGCTGGGGTCCAGCCTTTCTCTTTTTCTTTGCTTCCTGCCTTCCCCAGGTGAACAGGTCTTTGGGCTTAGATACCCAAAGGGTTAATAGGGCTGCGCTTTCAAATGCCATTCGGGCTGCTCTCCTCAGAGCATAAACATTAATCATGGTTTCCAAAAGCAAGCCGAGCTACACTGCCAAATTTCTCTACAGACAGGTCAGCATAGCCCAGGTCTAGATGTGTTTAGTCTGTGGGTGGTTATGGCACATCATTGGTGCCACTGCGCTTGCTGTTCACTATTCAGGAGTCTTTAAGTGACATGTGACAGAAACTCACTGACAGTTTACCATAAATGCTAAAGGAATTTATAAAACCATCTATATTAACCAGCTTTTTGTAAGATTTTATTTAAAGAGGGAAAAAAACCAGAAAAACTTCTACCCTAATCTCACTTCAAATGCTGTATGTCTGGGATTGAATACCTGGGAATACTGGGGCCTTTTCCAGCTCACGGGAACAAGCACGTTGGAGTTGGAGCCTGACGAAGTGGAGGATGCGCTCCGGGTAACCGTCATGGCTCGGGGCTTCCCATCACGCCCAGCAGAATTCTGGAGCTCATCGTATCGCCTCCCGATGATGGGTGTCTTGAGAAAATGGAAGAGGACAGATTCTTCTGACTCTAATAGTTTTGTAGAGTATGGGACCATTCTACCCAGAAACAACCAAAAACTACTTCTGTGTTTAAAACTCAGATCAGAAAAGCTCAGCGTTACAAAGGTTACTTTTCTGATGTTCAAATATACATCCTGAATCATGCACCTCTTCAGTAGTCTCCCATATTCTTTAGCAGCAGGAAACAAATCTAATCACTTGATATTCAATATGCTTTAGAAACCACTGATAAAAATGCACAAACATGCAGATAATCAAATACTTTTTGGGTGTTTAAGATTGAAAGAATTTTTTATAATAAAAGACTAAACTTCCTTCCCCTTGCTCTAATGATCAATAATTGAGAATTATTTAAAATTATTTAAAATTTTACATGAATTCATATATTTTCAATTATTCAAATGAGTGAGGTCAGGGTCAGGTATGTGGGCAACATTTTAGAAATTTCACTTTCTGAGTTCCTCAGAGCCAGTGGGCAGTGGCTCCCCAACTTGAGCCCCAAAAGCTGTTGATGCCAGCTTGCGGGCTTCAGGTGGCAGGAACTTCCTGCTAATTCTCCAGCTCCTACGGGCCACTGTTCTGGGAGTTAGGGGTGCAGCTAACTGGCTACAGGCTTTTTTTTTAACCTTTTGTAGCAGAATACTCTTAAGAGTGAAAATAGCTCACCCCTTTAGCAATGTAAAAAAATAGTTAAATATGAACAGTACTTAAATCACTACCTTCATAGCATTTACATGTATACTAAAGATAGATATAGGTGTCACCATGGGAGCAAAGAGGTATCTCATCCTGAATACCGAATGGTAAAAGTCAGCAGTGTTGTGTCAAAAACTCTAGTCTGGGTAGAGCACTTGTGTGAAAATCTGGGTTCAATCCCCTAGTACAGAAAGCAGGGAAAAAGCCAGCTGGGATACAAGCTACTTATTAGTACCAGTGAGTTCCATATAAACATATCTGGTCTATTTCTTAGTGAATTTGTCATTCAGCAGTGTTTAGAAATAATTATCAATGATCTGCTTTGCATCAGACAGTGTACTTGGTTATAAAGATCAAGGGCAGAGCTGCTGCTTTGGGAGGGCCGTCATGAATCATGGTGCAGGAAAGTCAAGAAAGCCAAGTTATTTTACATCTTGAACTTAAATAATTAAGTACTGGCTGCTCATTTTGGCTCATGGACTAGCAGATGAATTTGACTACTTTTGATCTTTTCTTTTCAACTCCCTAGCATGGGGCCTTAGGCCTTACCTCCCTGCTTCCCCTATCCCAGGGAGGCTCCTAGTTAATCCATTTAAAAAGCACAGTGCTTGGGGAAGCCACCATATAGGTGACATCCATGTTCCTGTAAATCTTGGTCACCTGCCACTTGGTACAGCTCTGGGAGAAATGCTGTGCATGCCAAGATATGACGTGACAGTCACGAGGTGGAGAATGAGTCCCGATCACGCTTTAAGATATTTAAGATCACCCCATTTTTATCTGTATTTCTAACAAAATCATTGTTTCGTTAACAGGCTAGTTTCTGTTTCTAACTCTGCCAGTTGACAGTCCCAGTCAGTACGACACTCAGTGTATTCTTTTGTTTGTTTTGCTGGCAGAGATTGAACTCAGGGCCTTACATGTGCTAAGCAAGTGCTCTACCACTGAATTCTATCCTTGGCCCCTTAATAAATGGCTACAATAACAACCTAATTTAGGCCTTAGAAGTTTTCATTTGTAATAATTTTAAATCTTTCTTTCTCCTAGCAACTATATTTAACTTTTGCTACCATAAATTCAAGCTAACGTCCACAGAAGTTCATGCAGCTGAGTACCTCTGAAATATCGAAGTGAAAGTCCAGGGTTTTCCCAGGCAACTCCTTCGAAGCACTCGTCCACACTCGATGTATTTCTATCTTGGAGAGGTCACTGTGCTGGTAGGAAGGCAACGCGAGGCTGGCTGACCGAGAGACAACCAGCTTCAGGATATTTAAAGCTTCTCTCCAGTGGACGCTCTGCGGAAGATGAAACATTCAAGGGTTAAAAATAATTTTAGACAGTTAAAGGAACATTAACTGAAAGTTCTTATGACTGATCAGAATTCACTGACTTAAAACATGCAGGGAATTCTGTAACACACAAGAGGCAAAATGATGTAAAAAGTCCATTTCTACATAAAATGAGCTACATTTAAGGAAATAAGAGAATTAAAAAAAATACGTTTTGTCAACATTCAAAGAAACGAGATTTCAAAATTCCAAGGCAACATGTTTGCTAAGGAGCCATTTCCTGTACAAAACAGCCCTAATCTATGCTATGCTTAGATACAATCAGAATGTATCTGACATTCATTCTTTCTTATACTATCCCTGGTCAGGTTTGGGTCTTTCCACTTCTCTGGGTTTTCCTGTTTTTTTTGTCTCCGGGGCATCCTGATCTCTTTTTTTCTTACTTTTATCTTCCTCATGAT